GTGGTTCTTCCAATGTATACAGTTAGTTATCAACTGTTTAACACATAAAAGGAAAAAAGAATGACTGAACGAATGAAAAAATGGGGATGAGAGCAGCAACACTGAGTGATGGGCAGGTGCTGAATCAACTCTAGTTTGCCAAAAAAGAAAAGTGCAGATGAGAAGTGTTAAAGTGGCCATACTTATAGATAAAATTGTGTGGATGTCTAACATGCTTCATCTCTGATGGGTATTTTGCATGCATTATCACCATTCTTACAATGGCCATCTCATGTAGGTGATATTGACCCCCTTTTACAATTAACTTGGTAGCAACCATGAAAGGTATTTATTATTATCCTTATTTTGCAGATGAGTAAGTGGAGGCTTGTAGACATCATAGACTTGCCCAAAGTCACAGAGCTGTTAAGTGGCAAAGGTAGGATTTTAATGCAAGGCAATCTAGCTGTTAGGATACTGTACCCGTATCCTGAGGTACAGTTAGTTATAAAATTAGGACAATAGCCTACAGTTTTTGACATTAGTCCAGTATTTCCTGTTAACTGTCCTTCTCATTTTTGTATTTCAAAAGTTACAGCAAGACATTAGATAATCTCAGATATGATCGTATACAGATGCATCAGGTATCCACATACATTGTGGAATTTGAAAGGAAAGTAAAACTCGATCTTGTTCTTCATCATCTCCCCCAGTAACTTGCCAATGTATTTGAAATTTTGAGCATCATAGAAGGTAGTATTTCCCTAAACAGGTTCTGTGGGCTCCTGAGAGTTTTCTGTGTTCAAATAATTCAGGAAATCTGGAGTTTAATAGAGTTTGATTTTTTTTTTAACTATTCTGTGCAGGACTCCTTTGGTATATTAATATACATGTGAATCTAAATCAGGTGATTAAGAAATGGACCAATTCTCACATTGAGACATAGACACGATCCCCCTCCATTGTTTTTTCTAAGTATCACAAAAGTTTTGTTTCATAAGATGAACTTCTGAAAAGTGCTTGTTTGAGGCATTGTGCCTCTGGAAACCAACAAAAATATTAACATATTAGCACAAGTATTTTGTACATAGACTCATGGGCTTTCACTAACAAGCCATGGCAGGAAAGGACCATTTTCTGAAAGAAAATTTTGCCTAATTGGACACTGGTCTGCTTAAGAATCAGTAGATCTAGTTTATTATCTGAATTCTGCCTCTTAAGAGGTTGGGTGAACATGTTCAAGTTATTTTTACTCTACAAACTTCAGTTTCCTCTTCATTAAAATGAATATAGCAAAAAACCCTCATGTATATATTGTGACCACATGACAGTAACAATAATAAAACTATAGAAAGAGCAATATTTATTTGGTTCCTACTATTATGAAGCAATAATACTGTTAGTTTTTGAAGGCAGTATCTTTCTAAATTTGTCCAGCAATCATAAGCAGGCTAGTATCCTCGTTTTGTAGGTGAGGATACATACAACTCAGAATTGTTAACATAGGTTTCTCCGGATTGCACACACCTAGTAGAAGGATAACTCCAGTTCAAATCCAGTTCACCCAATGCCTTTACCTAGGGTTTACTAACTTCAAATTCCAAATGCAACTATTGCTACAATCAATAATAACAATGAAGAAAGCAAACTTTTTTGACAGTCTCTGTGTGCCAGGCATTATTCTAAGTAGAGAATGTGTATTATTTAATATCATAATAATTTTATTTATGAAATATTTTTGTAAATTTTATATGTGATATAATTCCAGCTTTTTATTACTTATTATTTAAATAAACTAATAAAATTAAATTATTTAAATTAATTATCATTTCTAACTTAATTAAATAATAAAATTCAATTAAAAATTTCTTTTTTTGGAGACAGGGTCTCACTCTGTCACCCACGTTGGAGTGCAGTGGTGTGATCTCAGCTGACCACAGCCTCTGCCTCCCGAGCTCAAGTGATGCTCCCACTTCAGCCTCTTTAGTAGCTGATACTACAGGTTTCTGCCACCACACACAGCTTTTTTTTTTTTTTAATAGAGACTGGACTTTACTATGTTGTCCAGGTTGGTCTCAAACTCCTAAACTAAAGTGATCCATCTGCCTTGGCCTCCCAAAATGCTAGGATTATGGGCTTGAGCCACCACACCCAGCCTTTTTCCAAAATTTTAATTTAAACAATGCTATAGAATATGAAAGCTAAATGGGATGGTAGAGATTATTTAACCTCGTTCTTCTTATTCTTAAGACTATCATTTAATTCCTAAACCACTATGGCATGCTGCTTGGACTGGATTGATTATAATTCTAGACTTTATCTTGGTCAAACTATTTAGAAAGCATAGCTCCTAATGACATTTATTGTATTTTATTTGTTTGTTTTTTAAGTTTGAAGTTGTTTAATTAGAAGAGCACAAGGCTTAATGAACTTAAAGCCCCAAATTCCTTTTAAATAATCTGTGGTCAAATAGCAAGTCCTCTGATGGTATATGTGGAAAAGTAGTATTTCTATTTTTCACTGATTTTATTTTTTAATTTATTTCAATAGCTTTTGGGGTACAAGTGGTTGTTGCTAATGGATGAATTATATAGTGGTGAATTCTGAGATTTTAGTGCACTTGTCACTTGAGTAGTTTATATTGTCGTTAACGTGTAGATATTTATCTCTGGCCCTCTTCCACCCTCCTCCTTCGGAGTCTCTAAGGTTCATTATATCACTCGGTATGCCTTTGCACACTCATAGCTTAGCCTCCATTCATAATTGAAAGCATGTGGGTTTTGGTTTTTCACTCCTGTTTACCTCACTTACAATAATGGCCTCCAGCTCTCTCCAAGTTGCTGTGGAAGTCATTATTTTGTTCCTTTCCATGTATTCCACATTGTATATATACCACACTTTCTTTATCCACTCATTAGTCAATAGCCTTTAGTTCAGTTTCACATCTTTGCAGTTGTGAATTGTGCTGCTGTAAATTTACATGTGTGTCATATATATTATATATATATATAATCGTACTTTAGATTCTGGGGTACATGTGCAGATCATGTAGAATTTTTGCATAGGTACATACATGGCAATGTGGTTTGCTGCCTTCATAACCCTGTCACCTATATCTGGCATTTCTCCCCATGCTATCCCTCCCAAACCTCCCTACCCACATACCCACATTGTCCCTCCCCTAGTCCCCTCCCTGTGTCCATGTGTTCTCATCGTTCAACACCCGCCTATGAGTAAGAATATGTGGTGTTTGATTTTCTGTTCTTGTGTCAGTTTGCCAGAATGATGGTTTCCAGATTTATCGATGTCCCTACAAAGCACACAAACTCATGCTTTTTTATGGTTGCATATTATTCCACAGTGAATAAGTGCCACATTTTCCTTGTCCAGTCCATCATCAATGGGCACTTGAGTTGGTTCCAGGTCTTTGCTATTGTCAACAGTGCCACAATGAACATATGTGTGCATGTGTCTTTATAACGGAATGATTTATAATCCTTTGGTTATATACCCAGTAATGGGATTGCTGGGTCAAATGGTATTTCTATTTCTAGGTCCTTGAGGAATTACCACACTGTCTTCCACAATGGTTGAACTAATTTACACTCCCACCAACCGTGTAAAAGTGTTCCTTTTTCTCCACATCCTCTCCAGCATCTGTTGTCTCCAGTTTTTTTAATGATCGCCATTCTAACTGGCGTCAGATGGTATCTCAATGTGGTTTTGATTTGCATTTCTCTAATGATCAGTGATGATGAACAATTTTTCATATGTTTCTTGGCCTCATATATGTCTTCTTTTAAAAAGTGTCTGTTCATGTCCTTCATCGACTTTTGAATGCATTTGTTTTTTTCTTGTAAATATGTTTTAGTTCTGAGCTACAACGTGTCATTTTAATATAATGTCTTCCTTTCCTTTGGGAAGATGCCCAGTAAGTAGAGAGATTGCTGGATAGAATGTTAGATCTACTTATAGCTCTTTAAGGACTCTCCATACTGTTTTCCATAGAGGTTGTACTAATTCACATTTCCACTAACAGTGTTTGAGTATTCCCTTTTCCCCATATCCACACCAACAGCTATTGTTTTTTGACATTTTAATAATGGCTATTAATAACACTCATTTTAAAAGACACATAGAGCAGCAAACAATGATCAGATATTACCAAAAACACTGAAAATTAGGTTTTAACTTGAAATAAGACTGGTACCTTTTTTGTGCATATTTACCTAGGAGTAAATTTAACAGGGGCTGATTGCTCTCAAAGACTAGTCTTTGGTAGCAAACACTCAGAAAACTTGTGAGTAAGTTTGTGACACAGTAAGAAGGACAGGGGTTTAGTGTCAGGAAAACTGAATCTTAAGTCACATTCTGCCATTGGCTTCTTCTGTGGCTTTGTCTTTAATAAAACAGTTATTAAGTCGTGCCATACATATTTATTGAGCAACTGTTAAGTGTGAGGCTGTATGCTACAAAATGATGCAAAAGATGAACAAAAATTGAAATAGCCACTTATCTTTGGAAAACTGTCCTTATGAGGTTAATCTGCGACAGATAGCACCCATGAATAATGTGTCTAGCACATGGCAGAAGCTCAATACACTATTTTCATCTCCTCTATTTCTTAGGACAGCAACTTTTTCTTATTGTCAATTTCTTCACCTAAAAAATAAAAATGACGAAGTATCAGGACTGGCATAATGGCAAGGATGATTTTCAAGATTTCTCCTGGTTTCAAATTCCATGGATTCATACATTCCAGGATAATAATTGGGCACAGATGCAATATTTAAGGTGCTTGTGGTGGGTGTAGTTCTGCAAAAAGAAAACAAGAAATTGCTTTTTCTGTTTAATTTCTACTTCACTGTTCTATTTTAATACCATGAATTATAAATCCATGCAATATGCAATCCAGTTTACTAGCTTACCTCGTGAAGAACCTAGTTTGAGACTTGCATACAAAGTGAAGTATTACTGAAAGAATTCCATGAACCAAATTCACCTCCCTCTGTCTCTTGCAGGTGTCCTGGACTCCAGCTGTGTTCAGCCTTCATCAGAGGTAAGATATGAATTTCATTTTCTGTCCAAAGCTATCTTATTTAAAAAGCATTTTATTTCTTCATGATGAGCTTTTGTATGTGAACCCAAAGAAGTTTTCCCTGTCAGGCCACAATAGGAATACAGTCGGAGGTTGGTATGAAAAATATATCTCTTTGCCTTGAATACAATCAGAATTCAAGTGTCATTGCCTGAGTCAAGGCAAAAAGGAGCAACTGCTTACTGCAGTATTATCTACCATTTTAAATAATTTGATTTTCAGTGGTTGAATTTTTTTCTTATATGGCCTGATACATTTAAAGGGGCTGGTTATCTATCATTTTTCAGGGAAAATAGTCTGCCTAAAAAGTTTTGGGGCAAATTTAAATTTTAGTGACAGAATTTTCTCCTTAGAAAGCTAATCATTCAAACTATAATTGGAGAGAACTTTTTGAAATTTTGGTTAATGGATACTACTTTTATCAACTTCTAGATATGAAAAGCTTAGCTACTAGCTTATTTGCAATGTTGAGGCAATAATGTCTTACGTGTCTTAATAGTAGCATCTCACTTGAGGTATGTAAAGTTTGTAACTCAGAAAATCTTTTACAATAACTTTGTGAAATAGTAAAACATTGCCAATCTCTGATTTTTTAAAAAATGTTAGAAATTAAAGAATGAATAAAATAGAATTCAATTTTGATAATTTATAGAGCTCATGTTGCAGACTTTAAAACGTCCACTTTAACTCGTATCAGTTTATAATTATTATATAATAACTTTTCTCTCCAGATTATAAGCTTCTTGAGGTCAAGATCCTTCTATATGTCTTTATATGCATGGAGTCTAGTACATTGATTGGCTTATTGCTGTTGTTCACGTCCATGTTAAATCTCATCATAACACAGATAATTTTGACTTGGTTGAATAAAGTTTGACTCAACTCGAACAGGTTGAAGATTGTCATGCATATAAAATTGCTGAAAAATATAAACATAAAAAATTGAGGCAACCTTGCTGTCACATCTCGAGCTTGTTTCAATAGCTTGTCAAGTGATTCAAGGATTTATGGCCTTCTTTGATTTATTTATTCACTCCCTCATTAATTCACTCACTAATTTATATTTATTGGGTGTTTAGTATTTATCATATACATGATTAGAACTTGAATAAGCTACTTTCTCTCTTCTGCTTAGACATGTTTTTCTTCATTAATATCCTGGGTTATTATCTTAGCCCCTACCTGAACTTTGAATGATAAGCAAATTTCAGAACTTCTCATGCTTCCTTATTTCTTGCTATAAAATAGAAATTATGATTCATGCACTTGTTCTTTAGGGAGAGAGATGACTAAGGAGCAATTACTTTGAGATAAATGTTTTGATGACAGACAAGTGGAAAGCAGAATGAGTTCATGATGGATGACCTAGAAATGATTTTTGGAGCTGAGTGATACAGCTTGGCCTTCTGCTTTTGTCAAGATCCTAAGACTGTTCCTCTTCCTTCCTCTATCTTTTCCTCAGGAGACACCATTTATGTTTCTTCTCCTCAGAGGCCGTAAGTCTTATTTCTTTTTTTTCTTATTCCTAACATTTATTTACTGGTCTCTGCTACTCCAGCCAGTTCATGCTCTACCTAACATGAGAACAATCCAAACACATCCATAACCTTATCCAATACCCGTTCGCAATCATTCAGTGTTTCCCATTGTCCAAACCTATTAGTCAGGCTTTCAGTGCCTTCTACTTTCAGGCCACACTTATTTTAGAGAAAAATTTTTCCTGTAACTTCCTTTATATCTATCTCAAATCAAACAGATTACTTATTATTCTTTGTTCTATATTCCATTAGGAAAGGCTCCTATGCCTTCGTTCATTCTAAGCCTCTAATGAGCTTTCCCTCTGCCTTCTCTGAATCCAAATTCTACCCAAGCTCAAAGACTCCATTATTATTTCAACTCTTTTCTTGAATCATTCTTGATCTCCAAAACTAAAAGACTTGTTCTCCTTTCTTTGAAGGCTCAAATCCAAATCACTTTATCTGTAACTGTCTTACAACACTTATAAATTTGGGTAAAACATAATTCATGTAGAGTATAATAAAATTCTAATCATTTGTACAAGTTCATTTACATTTCTAGACTAAATTTTTCTTTATGATTAGGTAAACGGCTTATTCCTTATTATATTTATGATATTTGCAGTTTTCATTGGAGGGGGGCATTATTTGTTGAATGGATAATTAATTAAATATTGAGTGAATGAATGAGTGAATAAGTTATCTATAGATGAATGTTTAGGCACTCCCTTTCTGCCCTGTCTTCCTTAATGTCACAGTCAGTGTACAGTAGAGTGCTACTTTTAATAAAATGATCAGATTGTTGACAATTTCAACTATTTAAATACAGCAAAAAAAAAAAAAGCAAAAAACAAAAAACCTGAAATTAAGTGAAAAATTCCTCTGAGCAGCAAGACAAATAGCAATCACAAAGCTTATTTAAATTGGTGTCTACCCTTAAGGTAGCTGGAGCTTATTTGGTATTAGGTGTTTACTTGGGTTACTGTTTTAATGAACTTAGTTATTTAGTTGCCATAGAAACTAACGGCAATAAGAAGGGGCCATGAGTGAAAAGAAAGCATAAAAACAAATCACATTAGCCTGGAGAGCATTGCTGTTGTAGTGTTAACAGCTCTGAAAAAATAATTCAATAACGTTTATCAAATACAGTTTATCAGAGATTTGTGTTTTCATGAAGATAGAAACATTTCTATCAAAAATGGCCCACAAAAGTTGTTAGTTTTTTAAAGGGATCAGCGTCAGTTACCTAGACCTGACAATTACAATATCTTACTGTAAAGCATTTTGTTGTCTTCAAATGACCTCAATATAAAAATCATGAATAGCAAATATTATTTTCAGTTCAATAAAGTAAGAAGAGAGGCTCAAAGAGATTGTGTAACTTCATTAAAAAGTCATTAATTAGGCTGGGTGTGGTGGCTTATGCCTGTAGTCTATCACTTTGGGAAGCTGAGGGGGGCAGATCATCTGAGTTAGGAGTTTGAGACCAGCCTGGCCAACATGATGAGCCCCCATCTCTACTAAAACTACAAAAAAATTAGCCTGGGCATGGTGGCAGTCACCTGTAATCCCAGGTACTTGGGAGGCTGAGTCAGGAGAATCGCTTGTACCTGAGAGGCAGAGGTTGCAGTAAGCTGAGACCGCCCCATTTCACTCCAGCCTGGGCAAAAAGAGCAAAACTCCTTCTCAAAAAAGAAAAAAAAGTCATAAATTAGCTATGTGACAGCTAAGATTTAAATACGTAAATTCTATACCCCAATTTTTAAATTTATTTTGTATTATAATAGCATTTAATTAGCACTAATATGAAAATATTACTTCTCAATGCTTTTGAAAAAAAGTGATATAATTCTTCTTTGGGTCAAATCTGCAAAGTGACAGCTTGGCTGGAAACCAACTGGCGATATGGTCATTTCCAAGACCACTTAAATTTTAGGGTTACTTAAGAAAGTCACCTACCTTAGTCCAGAGCTGTATCCTGAAAGCTATTGTCTTTGATGCCATGAATGATTATTAATTTCAGATGTTTATTTAGTGCTTTGGACATTATCCAACTTCTAGTATATCTATCTCTTTGCCTAAGGGCTTTTCTCAGAAAGGACTCTGCCATGGACAGTAGGCTAGAAATGCTGGGTAATTAGTGCCCTCAGCCAATTACTGAAGCCATTGAGTATGTAAATACGTTAACTCTCTTCATCTTTAAGTGATACACCATCATTTCCTGGGGATTCCCTACTGAATAGCTTCAGCTACCCAGCATGGTTGCTGATTTAACTCAGCTTGTATTTACTGCCTCCCCTCCTCATATCACTTTCTAGTGTCCTTGAAGCTTATCTCGGCACTTCGCACACATTTCTTGCACTCAAATCCTTGGCTCGGTCTCCTTTTGAAGGAACCCACACAAAGACAAACATATTTGGAAGAATTACTATGCTTAATGTACATCACTTCATCTATAACTCATAATAAGAAGTAATAATATAACAATAACTGATACTTTTGAGGCTTATTATGTGACAGCCACTATTTGAAGTCTTTTAATTATTTACCTTACTTAATTATCATAACACCCTTATGAGATAGAAACTAGTACTGTCCCCATTTTACAGAAAAAAAAAAGCTGAGGTTTGGAGAGAGTAGGTAGCCTACCTAAAGTCATTCACTTGCCAGTGATACAGTCAGGAGTTGAAACTAAACTTTCTGCTATAGCCTAGTTCTTAGTCCTACAGAAGTTAAACGGATTTATGCTCATATGGACTTAATGAAAGAATAAATAAACGATAGATAGAAAATTATATATTCTTTATCCTTCTCATTTTATTACACTATGGTATACTAAGTTAAGAATTTTAGAAAAGAAGTAATGTAAATTTTTAATACAAATCAAAGATAAACTGATCAGGGTCCTGAGAGCAGGTTTGATTTTTGCTCTGGGCTTGGTGATGGGTTAGACAAATTTGAGAAGGATTCAGCTCTTTGCCAACAGGCAATGCACAGAGCGATGCTTTCTTCTCTGAGACACCCCCCTTCAGCTACATAAACTCTCTATTGCCCTAAGCTCAAATCTTTCAGAGGCCCAAGGAGCATCAACTACTTTTAGTGTCAGTTGGAACATGTAAATATTTAACTAAAATGATGAAGCTTGAAAAAGCCTGGTCTCTCAGGCATTCCTTTCACTGTAAGGGAATCAGTGATTAGAATAAATAATTGTTCTGAAAATACCTTTATCTCATTTGTTCAAACAATTAAGCCCATCAAGGAAGTTAATTTATGAGAATGATGACATACATGTTGGCAAATTGTTCTGTTCATCTTGAGAGCCTTCATATTTTCTCATTCCCTCTTTTAAATCTTCCTTTGTCTCTGTTGTTTTGCTGTCACTTCTCAGTGTCTTTTGGGAGCTGTTGTTTCCTAGAGCTAGTTTGTTTTTTTCCATTTCCAAAT